TGGTGTGAGCCTCGGTTTCACTTACTGACTTTCCACCCACTGCTTTTGTTCTTCACTGGACGACGTTGCCAGTTAAGTCCGTCCTGGCGTGGCCGTTTGGCTTGGTTTTGCCGACTTGGTCCTAGCGTGGGATCGTACTATCGATCGTCAAGGCCGGCTAAAAGTCCACCGCCTCTTCGAGGCCGCCGAGCGGGCTGCCGCGTCAGATAGAAAACAGCAACAGCAAACCTATAGGTCGGACGACAAAGAACGCGACCAAACCACGTAAGCTGTCTATTTAGACGCCTTACGACATCCTCATTGTGATGTCGCGGTGGGTAAAGATTATCCCATCTGAAGAAAAAGTGGCGAGCGAACGTTGCTTTCGAGAACTTCTCGTCAGGTCAGTGCAGTTATATGGGACGGGGTACAGTAAGTGAAAAAAAATCGATGAAAGTTGGTTTTTAAAATACAGGCTAGGCAAGAGCGGAAGGGCGCAGAAAGTTGAATGCGGTTAGTCAACCTTTGACCACGGTAAGTGCGAAGGCTGAACGAAGTTCTTCTGGGCGCATGGGGTCGGTTTTCGTAGCCTGATGGCGGCCGCTTCTGCTGATGTTAACAGGCGCTGGCTCAGTAGCCTAGGGTAGCTCGAGGGGACCTAATAAATCACACGAAATGCTCTTCTCTCAGCGGACGCTTCCAGTCTTCGCTTGTCTTCTGCGCACACAGAGGAGTATTCGCAGCCATGTAGTAGTACTGAGCAGACGGATGCCCATCAAACGCGATGTTTGTGGCGATTAATGTTTTGGCGGGTTTAGGGATATTTTCTAGGGTAGCATCAATTCGGATGACGATGTCGTCGATATTCTGGCTGACTTTGTAGCAAATTCGCCCCGAGATATTGGGGGCTGCCTTTCCATTCATTTTGGAGTGGTGCTCTCTCCTTGTTAGAAATGCGCTCCTAAAACACCTATAGTTAAAGGCTGCAATTCCAAAACTGGAGTATCTATCAGAAAAATACACGGAGAACGCCGGGGGATCCACTAATGAGCTGAACCCCTCGCAGCTGTGCCACGTAGCGGCATAACATCGGCTGCACACGTGTCTGGACTTTCAGCTAGTACCTGTTCTGTCAAGTATGGCGTATCGCACAGCCTCTGCATATGCTACTGACTGCCTATTGGAGGCTTACAAATATTATGTGGTAATTCCGTTGTGGCTGATGGACTCCGGCCAAAATATTGGTATAAAATTTCAGTCTGAGCATACAAGTCTCAAAAAGACTGACTTATTCAGAATTAACGATTAGTTTCTGAGGAAATCAAAAAGCTGCGAAAACAAACAACTAATCGAGTGATCTCATCCACATTATGTGCGTAAACATATCGTGACTCTCGCGGAGCTCTATTGCCAGTGTAGTTGGGGTCGGTCAGTCGGCATACTGCTGGAAACTCGACACCACCAAAACCGTGTGAAGCCCTTACGAGAATCCACTGATGCAGTCCACTAGGTCGGCGACAAAACCCAGTCTTATCCAATGACAGACTTAGTAACAGACGACAGGTAGAGATTGTGGTGCAGGATTTAGTCGCAGCGATAGTTTTTGCCGCATGCCTTTAGTGCTTGGCTGTCTTTACAAATGTTTGAAAATTCAAGGCGTGTATGTCCTACTTGATTCGAGTGCATGTTTCTCCCATATGTAGCATATTCTTAGACTTAAAACTGGCCAATGCAATCGAGATGCCATAAATCAATTACAGTGGACAGCCTTGGCCGACAAGATATATGCATCAGGAGACTTTCGACGGAATCGAGCGAGCAGCAATTTAAGAAGAGCTAGGAAATCAGATATAAAGCGCATCGGACGGTCATCCCAGCAAGCTTTCCTGATAGCGGAATAACTGTCAATGGCTAACTCTGAACTCGGCACGTTTGCAGTTGCCCAGGTTGCCGTCACGCACAAACTTTATGAATTCTTATGTATTGAAACTGCTACTGATATTCAAACATACTTCAAAAAGAACATAATCTTTAGGTATGCAACCATGCAGCTCTCATGCTGTTAGAGGTGTCACTTTATCGACGTTGGCTCCATGCTCAAGGTTCCTGCATACACGAGTGGAAACTGGCCAACAGTGGGGGGAAAAAGTATCAGAGCATGGCCACGGGGAGCAGCTGGCAGTCTTTTGCAAACAGAATACTTACGGTCTTCTGTGGACTATTTCGCTGGTTTTTATTCTTTGACTCCTGGCAAGACAGATGGAGTGTTATCGTCTGAAGAATGGGGGTGTACTAGGCAAAACTTTCGAACTCGGCAGCAGGATGGGGCGGAAACTGCTGGATGCCTGGGTGTCTGACATCAACTCTACAAGCAGACAGGTTGACATGCTCCCTGTTGCCACTCCTTATGTTCACGCGGTCAAGTGACTTGGTCCAGCTCCCGGCGAAGGGCGCACGCCGTCACCACAGCACTGACTTAGGTGGCATGGATCCAGCCAGGTTACTGAAGCTACTCCCCCCTTCTCTTCCTCATTGCTTGACTAAAAACGGTTCACCTTTTTGAAAACAAGCATGTACAGCAGAATTTATTGGGGCCAATTAATTTCCTGACGGCTTTTCAACTGCAGCCCGTCTCTGCATGACATAGGTAACGAATGAAAGCGCACAGCAGTATGAATTTGTACAGAATGGCAGTGCATAAAAGCAAGGTCAAGGTTCAAGGCAATGAATAATCAGATAAGACGTCCACATAAGCATTATATAGGAAAGAGGGAGACGAAATGTTAACAACAAATAACAGTCAGAGGAAATTAGAGGTGTGAGATTACCAGGGCAATTGCAGATTGATCACATGATCTAACTGCTTGCACAGGTCTGGTTTCTCCCCCCGTATGTAAGCTGCTTCCAAATAACGTAAGGTTCGAGTTGTATGCGCTCGGACAAGTACTCGAAAAGATGCTTTAAGGTCGACAACATGACCGCTATCTAACAGGTGTTTCGTTATAGACGAACTTGGGTTCACCTTTTGACGTGCTTATTGTTTCCGATTATGGGCTCATGCATGAGTTCGAAAGCTTAGGCTAATATGCCCACTGTTCCACTGACCGAACTCTCCTTTTCTTTGTATCCAATAAACGTCTTCCTGACAGCTAACTTACAGGAGTCTGCTCCTCTGTTTTAGGTCCCCTTAGGTGGAATGCTGAAACGCCCCTAGTAGCGTTCCATATCAACTGGATGTACTTTTGCTGATACTTCTCGCAACAGGAGTGGCGAGGCGTGTGATTGGGCGACCTGATTACGTCATCCGTGTAATCATTGACTGCAGTTCTGTAGTTGCGTTTCTATCTCGCGCACGCCGACGCTAATACTGCTACGTGGGTACGAAGTGCAGTTTTTTCACAGGTTCTGTCCTCTTTTCTGTCGTTGGCCCTTTAAATTTTATCTTATCCTTGCATTTTATGCTTACAATGTTCAGGCACGAATGCGAACGTACATTTTGACAACGCGTGAAGCAGGACATCGATGAGACATGCAAAAAACGGACGAGGTGTTCGCAGTATCAAAATTTCTAAAATGGGCGAAGCTGACACGGAGCTGTTATCTGACTGTTCGCTGGACTTTTGTTTCAGCGAACGTGGATGCATAAAGCTGTCAGTATCACATGCGAGGAAAGCCTTATTTGCGCCGACGGCATCAGCAATTTATAATTGTCGGCACACGTAGATATACGAACTAAGTTGCACCGATGTGTTTTGCAGTCTGTCACCTCCGAAGTCTTCTGACCAGCTGTGCCAGTCGTGTCTGGAGAGCCTCGGACGCTTTTGGGGGCATCCTATGCCCTGCAACTAGACCCCATAGGTAGTGAGGGCTGCGTTCACATTGGACGGCTGAGCCAACTGCGGCAATTGGTGCTCAGGGAGAGCCTCGTTCGAGAGGAAGGCGAAATAATTGTTAATTTAGCTAGATCATAAATCGATAGCGGAACCGTGGCCAATTTCATGCCACATTGTGAAGCTTTTCGTCAGGGGCGTCTTCCCAGTTGCCAAGCGATGTGAGAACCTATACACGAGTTGTAGGGGAAACCGGGTTCCTTCAAGTCGAATGGATATAATTATCTTTCCCTTGTTGCCGCACGCGTGTTCGTGTCGCGCGTTATATTTCTTATGAACCAATAGTGTTCTTCGTGACGCAGGTTAGGGTTGTTACTGCTTAAGAAGAGTGGGGCGACATGCGATTTTGAGATCGAACTTTGGGAAGAAGGGCGGAAGGGATAGGAAAGATGAAGACACCATACGGCCGGATAGCAGTAAACACACAGCAGGATCGTCAACTTTATTCAGTCGAAAACTAGAATTATCGTCTTATATTCTACTGATACCCCTTCACCTCGTCAACCTGGGTACCTCCAGTGGCATTCGGTGTATGTACATAGTTAACTAAAACAAGATGCTGTGAGTTTGACTTGTTTTCATAGGCTAACGATTTGGTCCACCAGTTTCCAATTAGGCCTTGTAGAGTCACCGCCAACGCGAGTCCTCTGGTACGTCGAAAAAACCTGGATTCACCTAGAGTGATCTTGATAGTGTAATGGGATAGCATAGAGTGCAACTGCTGCACTGCACAAAGGACATGAATTAGATATGGATAAGGAAACAAACAGCAACCACCCAAGCGGACACAGAAGCGGTTCTGTAAGGACCCTATATTTGCGTGTTGAGAAGCTCTCAGTGCGAATCGGAAGACAGGACTGTTGACTTGAACTACATTCGGCGGTTAATTAGAGAGAGTTGTCACTAGAGAAATTTCGCAAACCGGTGCATGTAGAAACGAGACATGCGACCACACCACACCGACCCCAGATTTTGGTGAGTGCTCTCGTGCTAAAAGAATGTCTCGGCAGCCGTTAGCCGCCTTCTGACACCACTTGTAGTTGGAGTTTCGCATAGACAAAAGGCGATTATCAGGCATCAAGTAATGAGACCGAAAGACCCGCTGCCCTGGCAGAAAGTGTTTGGAGTCGTTTACCAGATCTTGTACAGTTGCGGGCAAAGCAGCCATATCCAAGAAACAGGGGGATTACTCCGGACGCGAATGAGAGAATATGCAGCAACAGCAGCAGCAGCAGCAGCAGCAGCATCAGCAGCAGCAGCAGCAGCAGTAGCAGCAGCAGCAGCAGCTGCAGCAGCAGCAGCAGCAGCAGCAGCAGTAGCAGCAGCAGCAGCAGCTGCAGCAGCAGCAGCAGCAGCAGCGATCAGGCAATTACCGTACCAAACGGGATCATCTGCGATAAAATACAGGATCTGTTAATTTTGATAGACACCCACAGTACGAAACCTAGCACAAGAAATGTGCCTGAATTTACGAAACATCTCTTATCCCTCGAAAACCGGTCAAAAACATATATCGACCAAAACTTCAAATTAATACTGAATGACTTTAAGTACAACGAAAACACAAAAGAAATATAAAATGCAATATGACATTGCTTGAAAATAAAATTTTCTATAAAAGTGACAAAAATTTCAAAAATCCTGTCAAATGAGTATACTTAAGCATTGGGAGGCCATAAAGTTCATCCATGCAAATCCAGCACAAGTAGAATAACGTTTGAAAATAGTTCTTTAATGCAGTTTGCACTTAAATATCCTCCAAGAATTAGTGGAATGTCAGGTATGGCGGTGGTGTGGTTTCTTAGATCCTTCTCAAATCTGCCCCACGGTGAATTAATTCACCCGCGAGTCACCGAGGCCGGAGCCGCCTAGTGGGACAGCGATGCGTGGCGTTGTTTGCGGCGGTCAAAGTGTTGTGTCGTGGACGGCATAACAGCTGCATCCTCCGCGCGCTCGCCATCCCTACCTGTTGTTGTCTCCAGTGCTGGCTTCGAGAATGAATCCTTTTTTTCAGCTGATTTCAAGAACGCGCTTTTTTCCTTATGAGAGCAAATATCTCATGTGTTGATGAATTAGAGGGCAGCAGGCATGTCCAATAAGTCGAAAGTAACTGGTCAGAAAGCGTCTTCTGTTGCGACGCTGGACTGTCTGGGATTGCCTTCTGACTGTGTCAACCTTCGCGACCTTGTACTATGGAAAAAAGCCCCTTTTACAAACTTGTTGTTCGATAACCAGTCTCTTTTAAAAAAGGTTCTGAAGCTCTCCCCCTTGCGAGTAAATGCTGAGTTTTATGTCAATGTCTTCGTCAAACGCGATTCAGAAATATGGGCCTAAAAGTCTTGATTTGGGTGAAACATAGTCAGAGGGTGATGGCGAACAGCGTTTAAAATCATATTTCATGACCATATTCACCCAGTTGTCTATCCATCTACTGAAACGCAATCTGAAATCAGGTTGCGGATAGACCTCGTCCGACGCAGGGACCGAGAAGTGACACGCAGTTGGTGAGAGCCGCTCTAAATTTTATACAGCCCTGTTACTACATCCGAAGGGTATTGTCTGCTGAAATGAGTAGAAATTTGATTATTCATAGACTTATTTAATGAGGTTCAGATGGAGGTCACCGTTGAACGCAATTTTCATGAAAAATTTTCAATGTAATTTTGTGGTCTCGTCGCAGTCAAAGTATACTTTTCCTCTGCGTTCAAGACGCTCATGGAATTTCTTATTCGGGTTTCTATGAGTTTTTATTTGTCGGGCGTGCGGGAGATCAACACGTTGAACCTGTTTCACAGGCCACGCGTTCTAGATTATGCTCTTGCTTCTTGCTATGTGGACTTTTCCGGGATAGCGAAATTGACATACTGCAGTCGGGTTGAATGTCCAGGAAAGTCTGAACTGCTGGCTGAATTCGCCCTGTGTAGTAAAAAACGGAACTTCAGGCAATTAAAAATACGGCTTTCAGTGTTCAGAATTTTTACACTTCACGGCAACTTGCCATCTGAATCCTGGCTGTTGCGGTAGGCAGGAATACGACAGTCGTCACAGCGACGCCGCAGTATAAACAGTGTTCACCTTAAGGCTGGTCTCAGTCGTTAGCAAATTCGGGTCCTTAGATCACGCCGCAGGTAGAAATCAGAAGGATGCGATTGGTGCTGCTGACGTGTCATGCCTGTTGTTGCAGGGCGTGTAAGCTTGACCTTGAAATCCCCAAGGACCAGTCATCAAGGCCAAAAATAGACACAACTAGCGAATAAGTGAGAAGGTACCGTCGACCAGTTTGAAAGCACTTGTTAGACGACTGTTACAGGCTGCCTTGGTCAGTGTTAGCTCGTAAAATTCCACGAGGAAAATGCACTGTGGACAAAAATCATGTGCCGCCTCGCAATGACAACCGACAAATTCGAAGAGCGAGCTGCGTGAAGTGAGTGGTAGGAAAGAGACTTTACCGCTGAGGCTCGATCCCGCGACCTGTTGGTTGGAAGTCCAACGTCCTAATCACTGAGCTACGGGCTCGTTGCCTTGTCGGTTACGATCGGGTATATTGACAATGATAGAGGGGCGTTCACTGGTCACGCTACGGAACCCACTCGTCCCGTTCTGCCTTGGGACCACACCACATCTACCTAGATATGATAAGAAGACGAATGTTTGGGAAAGTCGCCCAGGGGGGTTACATCCCCTATCCTTGTCAAAAGATTTATTAGCTAGTCGTTCATATTGACCTGACTATGAAAAACTCGGCACCTCGGTGGGATTCGAATACACGACAGCAAGGGGAAGGCTTTAGTACGGTCAACGCTCTAGCCACCTTAACTACGAGGCCCACCAGAAGACGTGAGTTTAATCACATTTGGGTCGTTGAAGATACAAGCCAAACACATTATTAGAGACCAAGGAAGACAGGGGTGGCAGATGCGCAGGACGCATAGTATTTGCAGAATTTCGTCGTTACACCACCAAATGACCGCTAAAATTGGCAGCTCTTCAGTATCTTAGCCATTACAGTGACCTACCGACCCCGTATTCACTGCTGACATTAAGCTTTGGTAAAATAATTAACCACGCGTAGAGTGCGCAGGCGAGCACTGTTTCAAACGCCAGTGTCGGTTAACCGAATGAACAAGTAATTATCACGCTGACGTCTAACACGGTAATGAAACTGCTCCGATTAGAGATCCGAATCACGGCCATCAAGGGCAACGGTATAGGGTGAAGGGGGTCGAAGCCATTAATTTTAATAGGTATGCAGTAACATATCGACTACATCCTGTGAATTCTGCAGCCTCTTGCCCATAAAGTACGCATATCTGATGCTGTCTATGATGATGCATTTGAACATGAGTTCGAAGCGTCGGGAGGGTGAAATTCTCGTTAAAGCGTTCACACCTGCTTCTCTCAGCTCCGGTCATTCGTCACGGATGGTCGTAACTAAAATTGTATTGACCTGAACAGCCGCGTTCGAGTTGTTTAGGGCAGTGTCTTTACTGCAGGTGTTGATATTCGGAATGTTCATAACTCGGCCCGTCGGCTTTTTAACACTGCTTTCCAGAGCAGAGTCCATCCTAGTGGTCTTCCATTGAGTAATCACTGTGCCCACGCACATGGGGCGGGATGAATGGAGGTACTTGAGCGTCGCCGAATGATGTTGGCGCCTGAGTTGGGCAGTTTGCCATTCGAGCGGTTGTCACTTGACTGCAGATCAACTTTCGGGCCGAGCCTGAAAAGGTCTGTGCCACGGCGTTTACTCCAAGTTCGCGCGTTAAGTTCTTCGGAAATTAAACAAGGCAATATCAAGAGTTGTTCCTCAAGAGAGAGCTAAAGCAATCAGTTCCCTGATGCTCTCTGACTCTTCAGATATTCTCCTTAAAATCGAGTTTTAAAGTCTTCGGGCTGCAAATAGAAAAGAAAAACGCCCGTGAAGGCGGTGACAAGGTAGTTGGGAATCAGTGACGCAGAAGTTTTGCAAGCAGAGACAGGAACCAATAAAATCGAAGAAGCTAGTTCTAGGTAGTAGTTGCGAAAAGGGAGATATGATCGCTGGAAGGAGAGCTTTATTCGCCTGACGTTTCGGATCCCTGCTCGGATCCATAATCAGAGACAGCGCTAGGTATGGGGAAGTTCATGCACGAGGGGCGGCAGTATTCATATGGTGCGGTCGCCATGCTATCGCATGTCGATAAAATTTCTCCCATACATGTGAAATTGCCATAGAGACCACAGTAACGAGTATTGAAGGCCAACCGAATAGAGACGTCAATCTCTGGCGTGCGGCCCGGCAGAAGATTGCCACTGGCTGAGGACGAAAAACAGGCCAGAAATGACCATTTCAAATTTGTCCTTATCTGTAAAACTTGTCGGCGCCTTCCTTATTCCCTGTGCTCATCAGTTACGAGAACTATGCTTCTTGGAGGGATAAGATGAAGGTCAGCACTTACTAAATTTTGAAAAATGAATACAACTTGGCAAGTTTTGCCAATTAGTCTTTTTCATTGTCAGTGGTGAAACGCTTGAGCATCTCAAGAGAACTCTGGTTGGCCTCCTGCTCACAGACCAAGTCGTGTAACTTGTTCTTGTAACGTCTTATTGAATGGGTAGCTTTCGTCGCTAAAACCACTTTGGGACTGTTAGTTTACCGTATATTTGAACAGGTGGTAGGGCGCTAACTCTCAGCTACCGCTACAATTACCGTTCAGCCCAGAAGCGGGAGTGTAGTAAAACTCACGTCACAGGAAACAAGCATTACAATAATAGTCGGGAAGGACGTTTATGGTAAACCTGAGCTCAACCCAAAAACTACATAAACCGATGTTAACGAACTCGTCCAGGAAAGACTGAGGGTTTGGACACGGGCGTATGGACCTCCGTACTACCGATGATCTTGAGCCATATTGCAGGGGGTTTGGTTGCTTTCGCGTCCCAACTTTAACCTCAACACTACCACTAATCGTTATAACGCCAACCCTAACATCCCCTGGGATTCAACGCTAGACCACCTGTAAGATGGGGTCTGTATTCTCGTATCCTGCCCGATTGGGAACAGAAGTCTGTATTATCTGCCACTGTTGCAAATTCAGGAGATAATGTTGCTCACTAATTGCAGCTTGCCGTAAACATACAAGACACGTGGGTAGGAGGTTAAGTAAACGCCAGTAAACAACTTGTCTGTCAGATTGCCCGCATGGCAACTGAAGTCACAGTCGCACAGATCAAAATAAACGAGAACCGAGATCACGCCTGCGCGAAAAGAAATTGCTGTGCGGTGGATGACTGATTTTATCTTCCTTGTTGCCCCAATTCAAGACTCTGGGCATGATTTTGGCTCTGAAGGCAGGACGATAGCTGCTTGCGCTAGCTATAAGGCAAACTAATGGGGCCGGGTAATTCTGACGTAATCTCAATGAAGCGTTAAGTCGGGCTTCTGAACGCGTAATAGGCATTGAGCAAGCTTTTCCAAGTATGTGAGTAACTAACGGATTTTGAGGAACTTTTCGTTTGTTGTTATGGTTATTGTGCTTTATGGTGGACTTTTATATTAATCTTTGAGCTCACACTAATAGCTCTTTCGTCTCGGTGGTAGGATATCACCACCACCACCACCACCACCACCACCACCACCACCACCACCACCACCACCACCAGCAGCACCTCCTCCTCCTCTTCCTCCTCCTACTACTCCTCATATTCCTCCTCAAAACGACTTGGGGTGTTTTATTTTGAACTGATCTACATGACTCCCTTTGATACTTGTGCTAGAATATGTAAGTTACCATATCTGTGCAGATTTTAGGGCGAAATACCTATCGGAGTATCCGGTGTTTACATGGACGATTTCGCGATACTACATAAAAGTATTTGGTAGGCTCTTCCATGGTGACAGCACTCATAGTATTTCAGAAGTTCGGAATTCGTGAAAAAACGCAGGCAACGATTAGAGAAGGAGTTAAATAGGGAAAAATATTTCAAGCAAACTTGCACAATATTTGCAACTAGCATTTCACAACATAGCCCAGAAAGTGTTGTTGGACTCATTCTTTACAAGAACATTTTCCACGCTTTCTATTCAGACACCTACTCGGCCAACAAGGAGCTCAAGGGGCATTTGAAGCACACTTTGACTGCCTCTGTTGACTTAGCCCACCCAGCCACCGCGCGGGCTTTTTTGGTTCTATGCACTTATGCGATAATTGTCGGCGAAACATCACAGCGCACGCCTCCCTTACACCGCCTCGTTGTAAACGCACGCGCAAACACATGGTGACCTTGCACGAGCCCTTCGGGCACGCAGGCGTAAGCGTCAGCTACCAGCAAAACATCACACACACACTCATATCTCTAACGCAGCCACCACGCAGTGCAATTTGGCGGCGTTCCTCTGATCTGTGAAACGTCGTACATGTGAGCGTGCCCATCTTACTAGTGTGAGAACACCGCGCCCCCCGATGAGATCTTTTAGTGTTGAGTAGAGGAAAACCAGGGGTGTGTCACACGGTAGACGGAGGCGTCTACGTCACGTCAGTCAGCAGACCCAACCTCGTCATCGTCAGCCGCTCCAGACAGACTTCAACAGGTGCATGGGAGAGAGGACAGGCCGCACAAGTCTGATGACAAAATGGGACATTTATCCCTACTTAAACATTTAGACGTGTTTTGACAGATTTCAAATAATTCGCTTTGACCCAATTGTGAAAAACTCGGTACTTTGGTAGTATTCGCGCCCATTACGGCAAGGAGAGGCTTTAGTACAGCCAATGCGCTAACCATCTGAGCTACGAGGCCCAACGGGAGGACGACGCAAGTTTAGTTAAATTTGAGTCAATTTATCCGCCAAACCTACTGAAAAGTCTGGAATACACCACATCTGATACAGAAGGCTGACTGCCCTGGCGGTCAACTGGGAGAGTAACTTGACTCAAACGTGATTAAATTCGCGTCGTCCGGTGGGGCCTTATGGCTCAGGTGGCTAGAGCGTTGACTGTGATAAAGCCTCCCCTTGCTGTT